AGTGGTGGACGAAACCAAGCACAGACACCCCCAAGGTTTATAAAGATGGCACTGATGACCGGTAAAGGAAGTGGTGGACGAAACCAAGCACAGACGCACAGGAGGAAAATACTGATAAAGGCAGCAGACAATCAAAATTAACCATCTTTTTTTTTTAGGGTTAAGATGTTTTTGTTTTAAATAAGGCAAAAAGTTGCTTTTCCAACCCCTTATAAGTAGATAGAAATACAGTAAACGGTTAAGCATCATGATAGTCAGAGGGGGAGAAAAACAGACAACTTACTTCGTCATTGAGCCAGTGATAGTTCCTCAAGGTCTGGATGTCACCACGAGTAATTCGCAATTTGAAAGCACTACTGAGGATCTCATCCTGCGAGCCGTGGCCTAGGGCATTACTGATTTCTTTTTCCATGTCCTGAATTAGAAAGTCCAGAGGCTGCTAATTTAATACAGAACCACTACCAGATATTACAAGTCTGAGACTGAAAAAGCTTTTTATCTTTGGTAACACCTGACCTTTGAGAAAGATATACTATCAAAGACCTATTAAATTGAAGTATGAAAATATTTAGACTTAGATTACTAAGCAATCTTATCACTGGTCATAAAAAAAAATAAGGTTAATTATTAGCTTCTAGAAACAATAAATTAGTAATAATATTTACATTGAAAGTATAGCCCCGATTATCCACCACCATTTATGAAGCACTAGCTAGGTGCCAAACATGGTGCCAGATGCTTTAAGCACATCATTCATCCTCACTTTTGGAGGTTATCATTGCCATTTGATGGAAGAGAAAACTGAAGCTCAGAGAATTCAGGTTATATGGTCAAAGTCATATAATTATTAAAAGGCAGCGCCAAGATTTGAACCCAGGTGTGTCTAACTTCCTATTCCTAGTCTTCGCTTCTTTCACAATACTAAAATCCTTGTTTACCTCCTACACTCAACTTTTATTTAAAAGCATTGAAATAATAAAATTAGGACATCTAATAGGTCATGCTATCAATTTCCGACACAAAGAAAATAAGCAAACGGGCAGAAACTTGGAAAACCAGGCGGCAGTCTACCGGCAGCGGCATCCTGGTTCGATAGACAGCTTCGTTATTCTAGAGCAGCAGGCAGATAAACGTACATCTAAGCTACAAAAATCAATCTAGAAATCCAATAGAAATTATTTTCTTCCAACTGTCTTAACATCACCTCCCCCAGTGCACACAAGTTCGCTGTTTTACAGCACTGTCTTCCACCCGTGCGGCCCCCATGGAGTGCGTGCGTAAGAGATTCACCGACGAGGACTGCGGACCACCACTAAGGCAGCCGTGGAGGAGGAGCCAAGATGGCAGTTACAGCACACATTTAAAATTAAAATTCTTAACTACCTTCATTTCCTTTCTTGTCTGTAAGTTTTAACTGTCTTCAAAAGCAATAATAATGAAAGACAATTTTAGTAAACAATAATCACATAGAAAAACTGCAATGAACTTACTCCTAATGCCAAACCCATATATGTAACTCAACCTATTTGAAGGTTAGAAAAACAATCGATAAAGAAGCCATCGTATCCCAATGCACACGGCAATTATGTCTACTCTCCCCTGCAGAACATTAATCCAATCCCTTAGGCCATCTTCGCGGATCACAATGATCAGTGTAGCCAAAGTGAACGAACAGACCTTGAACCTGATTTTTTTCAGACATTCACCTTTAGCTACTTCAGCCTGGAGAATGCTCTCAAAATAAAACATTCATTCAAGTCTAGAGTAACTGAGGTTATTTACAAACACGCCTCTTACTCTGATCAACACAAGGGACAATACCTCTGTAAGTTCAAGAAGATCGTCTGTCCTTCTCTCTTTGCCTGAGTAATTCTTTTCTTTCGTCTCACGCACTAACGTCTTGCTCCTGAATAAGCCATTGCTTCCACTGCCCAGGCGGAGTCGGGCTGACACTTCCTCGGACAGGTCAGGTTCCAGCTGATGTCCCCTCCTCTGATCAAAAGAAGTTTCTATATTCTACTGACATGTTTGATACTTGCACGCATAAACACCAATTACACAAGAAGTATAAAACAGTGCCATTATCTTTAAAGAAAAGAGAATTAACAAATCCCCCCAACGAACGGGACAAAAAGGATCTCAGGGCATAAGGCTCACGGGACACCGAACTGCAAACGTAGGAAAGGAACATTCCTCACTTTCCCTGCAGGCAGCAAGAAAAGCATCTTCAGTCTCCTACCCCAATGAAAAGCACTATCACTAAAACGCATTTTGAAAACATTTACAAAGCAAAAAAATATGACCCATAATCCCATCACTCAGGGTAAACCATTGATATGCTTAAACTAAACTTATTCTATTTGTTTTTTTTTAAAAAATCACGTATTATTTTTTTTTTAAATGCACAAAACATTAATAAACCACTTAATTAACTTTTATAAAATGTAGTGTAACCAACCACCCTTCAGGTTAACAAATAGAGTTCAGCCAGCACCCCAGAAACCCTGAGAAGATCCTTCCCTATCAGAATCCTAAGAAATTCTTAATATGAAATTTAAGTCATTTAGTATGCACACTATTTTAAATCAGGAAATTTATTTAGAAATAGAGTTTTGCACTAGAACCACATTAGTCTCAACACACCTCACCAGTCCTCTGTACTCAGCTTACTACCTGGTACACTGGTCCCAGGAAACCAGCACCTACTGGCCCTCCCCCCAGTCCCTGACAGCAACGGCCTTGGGTTCTGCAAGGACAGGGGCAGGATGGGAGGCTCCTTAGCCAGGTTCCAAATACCTCCGCTCTGCCCCCTTTCAAATTTTGCTCAACAGGTGACAAATGTTACTTAGACACCAAAGGCTCCACTTTGAATCGCTGGCAGTGGGGGACACCAGAGAAGAGAAAACCTTGACTTAGCCCTTAGCCTTGAGACTAATTCTTATGAAGTGGTCGCGTGGGAGAAGACGAACTCAACCAAACTGATACTCAACACAAAGCAGCCCCCCTAAACTTTTGTATTTCTATGTATCTAAAATAGTCAATAACTTAAACTTCAACTTTGCATTTAATTTAGCAATATTTCTTTGGGTATGGGGTGTTTAGCAAAACACTTTGCCACTGTTACTAAAAATGTTGGCATTGATATGACGATGACTGGAACACTTCTTATTCCAATACTTATACAGAAAATGTAAAATCCAGTTAAGCTAAGATTGATAATATTTTCAAGTAGATCTGAAACCTAGACTCTGAAAGCAAAGTCCTAAATATATCAGATCTTCCCCTACTAAGTAGTGACCTATAGTTAAAAAAATGACAACATCAATCTCCAAAAGAAGTCATACAACAGAGATGGGTGGAATGGAGGCAACTTTAATTTATAAACCAGGTTGCTCCTGCGTGGAGGTCAAAACCCGGCAGAAAGTTTTCTCTCTTCAAAGCCTGCTGCTTTTCAGAGAAAACAATGGAATTAGAAATCAAAGTAATATAGATCATCTTTCTTATTTTTCATGGGCACCCAAATTTTAACATAAGTCAGGTGATGAGTAAAGAAGAAAATTTAACCAGGGTTTCTACTTACAACTTCATTTTCAACTCTGATTCCACCTGTATTCTCAGTATCAGATATTTTCCCCTTTGAACATCTGAGGGAAAAAAAAAAATTGAGATTATAAACTTCTGCTGGATAATTTTAGCCTAGCACATGTTAGACTAGTTTTCAGAAATAAGACTTAATAATTTTAAACAAAAATTGCCTTAAATTTGGCAAAATTGTCTTGAATTTATATAATCCTCTAAACCAGGGGTTGGCAAACTTTCTCTATAAAAGACCAGATAGTCAATATTTCAGGCTTTGCGGGCCTTACAGTTTCTGTACAGTTGTCTCAACTCTGCCATTATAACGTGAAAGCAGCCAAAGACAATATGTAAATGAAAACACACAACCATGTTCCAGTACAACTTTACTCATAAAGACAGACACACAGGCAAGATTTGGCCCACGTGTCCTAGTTCACCGATCCCTGCTCTAAACTACTGCCCCAAATTCCAAACCATGCAGAACTGCCTCAACTATTCCTATACTAGGAATGCTGACCACCAGAGGTGCCTACCCCACCCACACGCCTATCTAGGAGACTCCTGCTTCCCCCCACGCCTGATGCCTTCCCAGGCCTGGGTGGGCATATGACACACAGCATCTTAGGGACCTATTTACCTGACCAGCTACCAGAGCTGAGGAAAGTTCACAATTCCTCAGACACAGCTACTCATACATACGACTTATAAAAATATGTATAAATACACAAATACCCATACTCATGCATAATAAATACATATAAGTATATAAAATATATATATACACACGTAATATATAAACGAAAAACCAAACCCACTGCCATAGAGTTGATTCCAACTCATAGCGACCCTATATACAGAACAGAACTGTCCCGTAGGGCTTCCAAGGAGCGGCTGGTGGATTCAAGTTAGAACAAACTGAACCATGTACCTCTTTTCACTTCTCACTGAGCATAGAGGTCCCCTTGTTTCAACAACTCTATCTGTGAGGATGGTAAAGAAAAGATTAAAAAATATTTTTCTTTTATTATAAATATTCCCTCATTAATCAATCATATAGCTACAATTTCAGCTTCGTTTCCAGAGTATCAAGACATTCCTTTACACTGAAATGCTAAAAGCAAATTCCAAAGACACTAGCTTCCTTACAAACTAAGCTGCCTAATAAACATACATCTCTTTGCTCTGTAAATACAACTTTGGTGTAAACGGATATCTGCTCATCTGGTAAGCTGTAGTGTGGTAAGCCATGAACGTTGAGTGTGGAAATATAAGAAAATTAATGTAAGAGATGAAAGGAAATATCAGAAAATTAATTTTAGGATCACAAAATATTCACTATCATACAGGCACATAGGACAATCAAGAGGCATTTTATCACTCGACTTCATCTTGAAAGAGCTTTTTTCCTAAACTCCTGGCACTGGACAAGCCCCAGCTAATAACGTGAGGATTGACAATGTTTTAAAAGTTGGTAAGCCATCTGTCACTAGTATACCATTTGTCAACTTCGTACGCACTCTCCAGCATGAACTAAGGTCAATGTATTAAAACAAGGCTAAGTCTGGGAACTCACACTGTTTGGGAACAAAACGAGTTGTTTTGACTCCGTGATTCTGTTCTTCCCCCCAGCCTCTGGTCTTTAACATGTCCATCTGACTTCTCTGAGAACTTAGAGACATAAAAAAGGAGGATGGTCAGATACACAATGAAAACCTATCATAAAACTTCATCGTCTCTGTTTGGCAAGCTCTCCAAACAGGAGCTGCTGATCACCCTGCAACATCATATTACATCACAGCACCATCTGGGGACAGAATAAAAGGAGTCCAACACTTTGCAGTTCCCTTTACCTGTGAGGGTTTGAAGCTGCAGGAGGGGCCGGGTTCCCATGACCACCTTCTTTGAGTCGCTCCAGTAACCTTCGGTACTTCTCTCTTTCCTCTTTTTGAACACCCTAAGTGAGAGAAAGCCTATCAGACGAGTCCTGGCACGTCGAACCCGAAACGGTCACAATGGAGATTAAGAGTTACAATACAGCCCGTGGATGTGTTTTATTTGCCAGCTTTTAAAATGTGAATTAACTGCCAACTTTGTAAATTGAAAAAATAACACCTACTCCTCACTTACCGACTATCTTCTTATCCGACATTCGCATTTACGACAATATTAGGAAATCTACTCTCCGACTATTTTGCACATTAACAAGGCAGTAGCATGGTGGCAACGGCTGTGGAGCATCCCCTGCCTCAAGGAGGTTCTCTGGGCGGCCTCCGGGAAGCTGGGCCACACCGCCCCACGCCCTCCGCTCCCTCCTGCCTGCTGTCACCTCCTCCTGCCCCACCATGTCCAGCTGCCATGTGGAGCCAGCCTCTCTGTAGCCACAGCCTGTTCTGGGTTCCCAGCTCCTATGCAGCCCGAGGTCCTGCAGCTCATGGTGGGAGGGCATGGTTGGCAAACAAACAGAAGGCACCCATTATTTGCATAAACATACAGGAAGCTCCCGAAGGAGAGGGACCTGTTTTACTCTATTTTAAACGGCTGGCAACTAGCGCAGTGCCTGGGACCCTGATAAATAGTTCCTTGATTAACTAAGTGGCTCAGACAACCACCTAGCAAACTGCAATAGCTGATGGTCCTGGGGAGTGCCAGAGACGGGGGTAACTCTCAATTCGCCTGGAATAAGGGAAGACTTCGAGAGGAAGTGCAGAGGAGTGTCTTCTCCCTGCTAAGTGTGCGGAAAGGGAAGGTCAAAGGAGAGATGCACACCATTCATCTGCCTTACTAAGCCACAGTTATCACAGCTCAGAAAAAGAAACAAGTTAGAGCAACTCAGGCACACAAAAAGAAAAATCTACAGTCTTATCTCTTCCTAACATGGTTTCTATTTCTTTCTAATAGTGAAAATAATTATACCTGTGAACTGACTAAATTACATATTTAAGAATATCTCTGCAAGGATACACACAGCTATCAGTGGTTACTTCCTAAGAGACAAACGGGGGGGACTGCAGCCAGGTGCAGTCCAGAGACAGGGAACCTCACAGCCACTGCACGCGCTTTTGTACCTTTTGAATTTTGTACCATAGGATGTAATTATTTATTCCAACATAAAAATAATATCTTAAAAAGAATCCAGCTAAAAGGGCTCACCTCTTCCACAGTACAGTGGGGACGCCTCAGACCCTTGCCACCCTCTTCGGAAATCATCTCTGTGATAGCTTGTTCCCGAGGTTTCCACGTTAAGGGACCCTCTGGATTGCCTCTGCCATGGCGACGGCCACCTGGTCTTCTACTACAGCCTTCTGAGTTCAAGGTAAAACTGAGAGGGAAAAACAAACAAACAAGCGAACAGTATCACCAAACTGCTTACATTGCTGGACTCAAGCCCCTACACCGTCCTGTGGTCCAGCTGACCAAGGATACGCTTGCTCCTGACAAGTCAGACAACTACCACTTGTAGAAGTCTGCTCTAACCCAGAGCCGAGGGCACTCCAGCGTTCTGCTGTGGAATGTCTGTTTCCAGTCCCAAGGGCTGCCACTAGAAAGCCTGTCTTCTTCCTCACGCCCCACTTCCCAGCCCCAGCTCCAGACCAACTCCCTGACTGCACAGGGGCCCCTCTGGCACCACTGGAATTCATTACTGATGTGATTACCTGCTTAACATCTCGATCCCACACTAAGCTTTAAATTCCATGAAAGCAGGCATTATGTCCGTTCACCACTGTATCCTAGTACAGGAACTAAGCCAAAAGGCCGTCAATTGAATGCTAAATGAAAGCATGCTAAAGAAACCGAAGCTGTGGAGCCCCTGCTCAGCCACTGTGGCTGGAATCTGCTTCTCCAACTGTTACCAAGAACAAACCGACATCTTGCCCCTCTCTGACAACAATACAGGATCACGCACGTAGTATCTCTTAAACTAACCGACTGCATAAAGTGAATGAAACCGCGAGTAAACATCAAACAAATCCCATTGAGGGATATTCTACAAAAGAAATGCCCTACACTCTCTCTTCAGAAACAGGAGTGCCACTAAAGACAAAGAAAGGCTGAGGAACTGTTCCAGACTAAAGGAGACCAAAGAAACAGGAAACTAAATGCAAAGTATGATCCTCCAATGGATTCTGGACCAGGAAAAAAAAAAATTGCTCTAATGGAGAAATTTGAATAAGGCCTCTAGATGAGACAGTAGTATTACGTCAATGTTACATTTTCTGACTCTGGTAATGTGTGAGTATGTAAACGAATGTTTTCATTCTTCAAAAATAAACACTCTCAAGCACTTAGGGCTAGCGGGGCATGAATCTAAGACTGACTCTCAAATGGTTCAGGGAAAAAAATAGTATGTATATCTGACAGAGAACCACAAAGCAAATGCGGCAAACTGGTAACAATCAGTGGATCTCGGTGAAGGGTATTCACCTAACAATAAGAACTTCAAAATACAAGAAGGTTTGCAAAATACATGAAGTAAAACCTGACATAACTGAAAGCAGAAATAAATAAACTTATAACTACAGTAGACATTTAAAATAAAGCTCAACAATCAATTAAAAAAAAAAAAACAGAGAAAATAAGACCTGAAAACCATTATCAGCCAACTTGACCTAACTGTGTTTCTAGAGCACTCCACCCAGTCACAGGAGAATACGCCTTCTTTTCAAATGCAGACGGAACCTCACCCAGATAGACAATATTCTAGGCCAAAAACCAACCTTAACAAAGTTACAAGAATTAAAATCACATAAAGTATATTTTCTGGCTACAATGGAATTAAACTAGAAAACAAGAGTGACAGAGCGGCTGTTAGCGCCACTGAGTCGGCCCCCACCTCATGGTGATCCCGTGCACAACCCAACGGATCACTGCCAGGAAAGTGTGATTTTGGCATTTTTCTGTATCATGTTATACTTCCAAAAAAAGTTGGGAAGAAAGTTAGTGCTAGAGGCATACAATATGGTACAAAAAGTAACACACAGCTGAGTTCAAGTCTCTCACTAGCTGCGTGTCAGAGTACTTACATCGCAGGTTACATAATAAAACAGAGAATAAAATGCCTAGCAAATGTGAGCGCCCAACAAGTCTTAAGTTTCCATTTACAAAAAGGAATCAGACACTTACCCAAAGGAAGGCAGGACTCTGCGTGGCTGGTCTCGGGTTACTGTCACTCGGATCTTTGGATAGTCACTTATTCCATCAGGAGACTTACTACCTATTTAGAAAATACACATCTGTAATTGTGGGAAAAAAAAAAAAAGAAAAAAAAAAAAAAACCTGAGAGCAGTCTACCCTGTGGAAGTCAAACTAAGCATCTTGTTTTTTCAAATTCTATTACTACACAGCACAGAGGTTCAGCACAAATTCTGCAAACGTTCAGGGAAAGCGGCAGTGCTTGCTTTGCCTTTGACCTCAGGCGGTAACAGAATTCACAGACAAACTCTCTGGGTTTCCTTGCTGGGACTGACGAGGGGCCACAAGGAACTTCCGGATTATGAACGCTGTAGTCTAATCAATCTGAGCAAATTGTTCCGATTAACTTCCTTCTTCACAAGAAAACAACTCTGGGCCTTTTCCTAAGTATTTAAACATAAAAGCCAGCCACATGTTACTACATTTCACTGAAACCTTCCAACAATTTTGAGATGGTTACTATAATTCAAAAAAGTGTAATCACACGGTTACCAACCACATTCTCTGCCACAACAGGGGTCTGGAAGGGAGAGAGAAACAGTCTATGAATTTGGAGTCCCTGGAGCCCTGGTGGCACGGTGGTTAAGGGCTCGGCTGCTAACTGAAAGATCGGCAGCTCGAACCCACCAGCTGCCCTGCGGGAGGAAGACGTGGCAGTCTGCTCGCTTAAAGATTACAGCCTTGGAAACCCTATGGGGCAGTTCCACTCTCTCTTACAGGGTCACTATGAGTCGGAATTGACTCAATGGCAGTGGGTTTGGGTTTGGTTTGAGGACTCCAAAATGTTAAGATGCCTGCAACTGGAAGTTTTTTCAATAAATTAATTAGCAGCAAAAACCTAAGCTGACCCAAGTTCATTTACTTGAACTGAAGTGAAGCTGAAGTCTGTACTTACCCCCACCTAGTGTGAATATTCATATATTTAATTGCAGAAATATTCATATTTGGTTACAGGGTTCTACTGCAGATTCCAATGGGTTTTTGTTTGTTTTTTGTTTATAATATTCACTATACACACCATATCTAAAATATGAAAAATCTGAATTCCCAAATACATCCGGCCTCCAAGGCTTTCAGGTAAGAGACCGTCGACTTCTTTACACAAGAAACCTGCCACATGAACACCTGTGCTTCTCTGACTGGCCCACACTCACGGGGACACAGTCCTGGCGCTTCAGACGTAAAATAAACCCGCCGTCCCTCTCTCCCATAATGTTGATTTCATTTAACGGTTTATATATTCAAACAATATGAATGGATTATAAAATTCAATTCCCATTAACTTTAAAAATGAAATAAGAGACTTCAAACAAAAAGACTTTGTTCAAAACAAAGAAGTAGCGTCTTTGTTCCATGTCCTTTGGGACTAGATTCCCAAACGGACAGAGGGGTGTGTGTTTACCCTCCTTCACTCTTCTCTGCCACCAGAGGTACTTCACCAGCAAATCCGAGAAGCATTACTCTAAGGTTTTTATCACTTCTTTAGCGTCTTCTACTTTTGACTTCTGAACCCACAACTTCTGTACCCGCTCGTTTTCTATAACTTCCTCCTCTTCCTCTCAAACTTTACAAGCTTACCTGTGTGGTAAAGACCACGGCACTTCTCAGGACTCTGGCTTCTTCCTACTTCTCCCCACCGAACTGGACTGTATAGTATATACAATGATTACACTTCAATGTCAGGGTCTGAGAATGATCTGGAGGTTCCTAATGCATAATGCTACAAGAACTGGGGACCCAAAGTTGCCCCCAACTACACGATGAGTCCTCACAGGCAGGGACAAGATTTTATTATTTGGTTATTCCTGCTAACTTAGCACAGAGTCTGGCACAAAGCAAGCTCCCAGAACACGGTTTTGTTTTTTTGTTTTTTTTTAAATGAATGAACTCTGATCTAAGTCACAATAAGGACAACTGGTAATGCAAATAGAATACACAACAGTAAATTCAAAAAAAGCAATTCTGAAGGAGAACGATTTGGTTTTTAGAATGGTAGAGAGAATATGTCTCTGACTGTTCCCATCTCAACCCCACAGCACTGTTTTCCTGTCAAAGTCTCCAATCTCAGGAGGAAAGGGGCAGAAGGAGGTCCAGGGAAGCAGACACGTTTCTGACCACCTCACCCAGTTTCAGCATGTTGTTCCAGGATCCAGAACCTGTCAGTCCACCAGACGAAGAGCTCGAAAATACCTTAAATCCAAACAGAATCACCTCTGTAACATCTACATTTTACAGCTTAAATACATTTCTCATTTAAAAAAAAAAATCACTCTATTGATGCTTATCTAAGCTAGTTCACCAGAAGAGATCATCAGTAAGACCAAAGGTTTGTCTAGACTCACAAAATGACATAAAAACATAACAATTCCAGGTTCTTCACACGAACTTAAATAAGAAAAGGTGATACATTGGCAATTAGGCTTTTTATCAATAGATTTTTTTTTTTAATGTTTAATTCCTTAATCTTTAGTTTCTTGACCTTTAAATCAAGGCTAATAAAGACATGAACATTTCTAGAAAGTCATTCAACATATTAATTCCCAAATAGAGAATATTTCTAAGAGCCAACTTGAATGACTAAGGGCCAATGGAGCCCCACCCCACTGACCTCTTCTGAAGGAGCCACATCCCGTGTTCCATTACAAGCAGAAGTAACCCTGGGCTTGGTGGTCAGCTGGAATGGGAATCCAAGTAAGCTGGCAGCATTGTAGAGACTGTTCTTCACTTGGTGAATAAAGCAATCTAGAAAGTGTCAACCAACTATAAATACAGAGTAATATACCTTCAGCAAACAACAGTAAGATTGCTCTTGGAAAGAGTCTCTCTTAATTTTCACTGTAAGTCCCGTTTTCAAACATTGAGATAAAAATGTATCTATAAAGGTAATTTTTTTTGTAACTGGATAACTGGAATTCCAATATTGTGATTTTTGTTTTTATAGTTAAAATAGCTGGAATGCTAAAACAACTCGAAACCACTTTAGCAGATCACATGCTGATGAACCAAAAAAAAAAAAAAAAGCCCTGAAATAGCAGCTTTTAAGCTATAATAACAAGTTCCCCAGAATATATAAATCTTTGTCAGAGAGACAGGGGCGTAACCTAGATAACCAGGAGTATGGTACAGAGAATTTACATAGGAACAGTGTCACTGACTCACTGATTTACCCTTCCTTCCAGTGGCGGTAAAAAAGTAACTGCCCTAAGCAACTATTTACAAAGTGCCTAGTACACCCTGACTAGGCGAGGGTGTAAATTAGTGACGTATGAGACGTGCAGCTCTTAAACACGTGTGATAAGATAAGGGTATCACCAGGAGAAAGGTGGGGTGCAGAACTCAAATTCTAGTAAAAAGACCAGACTTAATGGTCTGACTGAGACTGGAGCAACCCCAGAAAGCATGACCCCCGGACTCTCTGCCAACCCAGAACTAAAACCATTCCCAAGGCCAACTCTTCAGACAAAGATTGGACTGGACTGTGGGACATAAAGTGATACTCGTGAAGAGTGTGCTTCTTAGCTCAGGTAGATACATGAGACTAAACGGGCAGCTTCTGTCCGGAGGTGAGATGGGAAGGCACAGAGGGTCAGGAGCTGGTGGAATGGACACGGGAAATCCAGGGCGGAAAGGAAGAGTGTGCTGTCACAGTATAGGGAGAGCAACTAGGGTCACATAACAATGTGCGTGTAAGTTTTTGTATGAGAGACTAACTTGAATTGTAAATCTTCGCTTAAACTACAAAAATAAAATAAAATAAAATAAAAAGATAAAGCTATCACTCTACTGGGGAAGATGTGCTGAAAGATGTCAGGTTCACTCCTCCCCGTCACCAAAAAAAAAAAAAGAAAAAGATTACAAAATAAGTAAGTAAATAAGGGGGCGAGAGGATTTCAGCACTTTCCCCACTTCCTTTTTTCATCACACTACCTCTTACTTCTTACACGTGACTTAAGCTTTCTACCTGCCAGTTTCCTAACAAAGGGTATTCTGAAGCTCTAGTTGGAGAGGGAGACCGTCACCTCAGCCACACTTTTCTTTTGCAAAAAATGGCCTGATATGGTGGCTTCTGAGCAATAAGCGTTCCAGAATACATAAAATATAAAATACATATTTTCCAGAGAGATAGGGGAATAACTTTACATAACAGGGAGGATATGATAGTCAGGTAAAGCAGAATTTGAAGGAATTTGTTACTAGAGAATAGTCAAAAGTACCAAAGTTTGCAAATGACTTGCTTCTCCTTTTATGAATTAGAGAGAATTCCAAGTGATCCCTCTAATAATGTTGATCCCTCTTGCTAACATTCTCCTGGGCTTCTTTAAATGGGAGGAAAAGGCCTAAGGATTGGTACTTAACCCACAGACTGCCATTCAGACCCCAGAGGGCAAGAGGGATTCTTTACAACATAGTAAATAGTGGCCACTAAAAACTGTAATGTTTATCTTCCTACAAATTTTGTCAAAATTTAGGTATGCCCTGAGATTATGTCAAAAGACCTCATAGATTAAAAAAAAAACAGAAAAAAAAAAAGGAAGGTCGGCCTCATCTGCAAAATGGGGATGTTGTTGTTGGGTGCGATTGAGTAGATTCTGACTCATAATGACCCCACGTGCGCAGAGTAGAACTACACTCCACAGGGTTTTCAAGGCTGTGACCTTTTGGAAGCAGACGGCCAGGCCTGTCTTCCAAAGCACCTCTGGGTGGGTTTGAATCGCCAACCTCTCAGCTCGTAGACGAGTGCTTAACCATTTATGCCAACCAGGGACGTAAAATGGGGGGCGGGGGGGGCCTGTTGCCACTGAGTCGATTCTGACTCATAGCGACACTATAGGACAGAGTAGAACCGCCCCATAAGGTTTCCAAGGAGCAGCTGGTGAATTTGAACTGCTGACCTTCTGATTAGCAGCAAAGCTCTTAAAAATGGGGATAAGACCACCTTATTTTCCTGAGACTAGACTATGTAGCTCTTCCTTTCACTTGTAAGATCACTGGGTCTGTGATTCTAAGGTTCTCTTTCTTTTTTTCTTATTCTTGCCTTTTTTGTCTCAGAAGAAATCAAGAGTTGCACTGTCCAATACAGCAGCGACATGTGGGTACTTAAGTCTCAATTTAATTAAAATAAAACCCAGTTCCTCAGGTGCTCAATAGTCACCAGTATCATCGGCCATAATAGAAATGAAAACTCAACAATATTAAGTTCTAGTTAGACCTTTTTTTAAAAAAGAGATGACCATGTGTTAGACAAGTATTGAAGACATACTAGTGTTAAATCAAGAAATTCTGCTTGTCTATTAGACAGCACTGCCAGAGACCTTCACAGACTCTGCTAGCAAGTATTATCTCTTCTACCCACTGCTTTCCCTTGGCTTTTGGTCCCTTCTATAGTTTGCCATTCAGAAGATCAGAATACATATTTAATGGAAACCACCAGGGGATCCTTAACATACAGTCCATAAAATAAATGATTACCACAATTATTTCAGAAACCTTCTGTAATACTACTGTCAAAGTTTTTTTTTTAACACATCCAAGCACAATCTGTACAGTTATTCATTCATATTCTTCTCTAAAATCAATTCTTTTTTTTTTTTGCTTAAATAAATATGTTTTAAAAGATGATTTTAAATTACTACAACTATAAACGTAAAGCCAACATCATCTGCCATATATAGAAATGAAAACTCAACAATATTATTAAGTTCTAGTTAGGCCTGTTTTTTTTAAAAGAAGAAAAAAAAGAGATTAGCATGTGCTAGACAAGTATTGAAGACATACTAGTGTTAAATCAAGAAATTCTGCTTGAAATAACCAGGAAATAAAAATAACTAAAAAGGGTACAACTTTTATAGCATACATTTCAAATGCTACCTAATGCTGTGAATGTTGTTTTATAACCTAAAATCATCTCCTGAATGGTATCTACCCTGTGCTTGGGGAAACAGTGCCCTAATAAATTCAGTACAAATTCCTGGCTTTCAAAGTCCTCTACAATCTGATCTCTCTCTCTCTCTGATAAGCTCTTTCCCTGAGATATATTCACTATTTCCCAAATTTGCACAACTTTCCCATGCTGTTCCCTCCACCTAGAATGCTCTTCCTTACTACTGCTGTCTGTTGAGATCCTATCCATCTTTCAAGACCCATCTCATAAACTAGCTCCTTCAACCATTTCCTGAGACTCTCAACCAGCTGAAAACTGGAGAGCATGTTGTTACTGTCTCTTTATTTTATTTATTACATCCTCATTGCCATTTGAACCGTCTATGCTTGTCTTATGCCCCTCTTACATAATCACGCACCCTTACAGCTGCAAACCAGAGAACCAGATACAGTCCTTAGAGAGAGAGCCTGTCTTACTTAGTTCTGCACTTCCAGTAGAATCTAAACATTCTTTGGCCTTAAGACACGCTCAATAAGTACTCGCTGGATTTAAATGAGAAGTTAACACAGACACGCCTGCTCTCCACTACCACATCTGGAAGTAGACTCAAATTCACAGTCATTTTGGGGAAAAAAGAAACACGGTTACGGTATTCCATGGTACCTTTTCCCTCTACTCTATCCTAATTTTGCCTTGTTTTCTAACTGTGGTAAAATAAACACAAGATAAAGCTGCCATTTTAACCATTTTCAGGTGTACGATCCAACGGCACTGAACATATTCCCAATGCTGTGCAACCATCGTCACTATGCGTTTCCAGACCTTTCGTCGCCCCAAACAACAACTCTGGGCCCACGAAGTGATAGCTCCGCGTTCTCCTCTGTCCAGCCCACAGTCACCGGTAATCTACTTCCTGTCTATTTGAGATACTTCATATAAATAGGAACACACACTGTCTGTCCTTTGGGTCTGGTTTATCTCGCTCAGCATAATGTTTTCAAGATTCATCCACGTCATAGCATGTGTTAGAACTTCATTCTTTTTTTTTTTTTTTTTAACTTCGTTCCTTTTTAACTCTAACCTACTTTTATTCTCTTCTACCAAGCCACATCTAACCCTTCAGATACGGGGAAGTACAAGATTCACGACGATGCCTTAGAGTGTTGTCACTCAGCTATTCGACCTAAATCACTCAGCTTGGGTTAGGTTTTACAAGTGTTTCTTCCTCAAAAATAAAAAAGCATCTTTTCTTTAGAGGAATATTTAGAATTTAAAAATAAATATCCAACATATATAAGCTGACAGTCCCTGGGAACGGTGATTCTCTCTAGAAAGATAACTGAGTAGGAAAGAGACACAAGGAGACTTACTTTTCTCAGTACACACATTTTACCTTTTGAATTTTGTTACATGCATGTATTTTTCTTATTAAAAAAATAACTTTTAAAATTAATATTCAGTACCTAATCGTGGTCTTTTGGCTGGTATTTCATCAGTGTCCACTGCAGAAAATAGACTGCTGAAAGGAGATGGGGGAGAGAAAGTATATGTATTTATATAGATACTATACACATCTACATATGCACACATACATATACGTGAACATATCCATTTCTATAAGCAAGCTTACTATTCATACAACACACTCCTCTTCCATTCATTCTATCACAATATGAGATTCAACTGATGTTGTAAAGGAACACTCCTCTACGGTGTTAACTGCCATCCAGCTGACTGCTACTCATGGTGACCCCAGTAGGTCTTTAGCATTTGAGGATTTAACACTACGGTTTTTAACCATCTGAGAGAGACCCAAAACTCCCTATCATATACTAATCTGTACTCAAGCTGAGATACAAACTTGAAATGGGTCACGAGTCGCTCAGCTAGTAAACGGACCTAGGTAAGAGCCTAGAACTAGTATCTCTTTTTCTCTCCAGAAATTATTTGGAAACAAGCAAATAAACCATTTGAAAGACAACCCCAAAGAAAGCTATCTTCGACTTCAAATGACAAACATAAGCAGCCTTAAAATACAGTTCCTAGCCAGAAAAGGTGTTTTTAACAGCATCTTTACCATGGAACTTTTATTACCATGGTATTAAAGAATTTGTGAACTCAGGAACACTTCTGAATATACACCATAAGAATGGTAAAGGCTCATGATATGCTACCAATCATCTTACTGAATACTTTTGATCATATTTACAAAAAAAAAGAACAGAATGAGATCCAGGAGGATACCATTCACTTCAAAACTTTAAACACACCAAGACCTCCTAGCTTCATTTTGACTGAAAAATGGCTTATGCTGAGAACAGTTGTTTTAGATTAAGTATGTGAGCACCTAAAGTGTGGTAAAGAGGGTTTTGATCTCCCAACCACTGTTCTCCTAACAGGGATTCACAGAAGAAAGGAAGGAAAGGGGAGAGGAACATTCCCTTCTTCAATAACTGTTGAACCAAGTGCATACTATACACCAGACAGCACAGAAGGCCCTGGGGTACAGTAAATGAATACTGCCCTTACATATACTAAGCATCATGGTCAGTACTCTACAATATGATATTAAATGCTCCTCACATCAACCCAGCAGAAAGGTAGAAAGGCGGAATATGGTCACACCACACCCTTTCTGGAACATGTGATGGAATTTAGCCAATGGCCGACATTCTCAGGCTCCTATATTAACCATCTTGTTCTCTCAGTTCCCAGAAACCACTCTTTTTTCCACCTTCTTTGATCCTGAGGCTTAAAAACAATGAAATTAGCACTTCATCACCAGAAGTTTTTTGAGGGGGTGTAGTGTATAGAATTTGTATGGTATTTTACTTTCTAGATAAATTATCAGGTGAGGGGGTAGATACTATAAAATGGGATAAGCCAAGGAGTAGATGCTAACTACTAATAGCTTTCGGAAACCCTGGTGGCTGAGCGGTTAAGAGCTACAGCTGCTAACCAAAAGGCCGGCAGTTCAAATCCACCAGGCACTCCTTAGAAACGCTATGGGGCAGTTCTACCCTGTCCTATAGGGTCACTATGAGTCCGAATCCACTCGATGGCAACAGGTTTGGTTTTTTTTTTTTTTGGTAATAACAGCTTTTAGTTTCTCTCAAATTTTAAAGCACAGACTAGTGATCTTTTTAAAGAATGAGATACCTAACTTCTTGTCTCATACGCCGATTCTAAAGCACAGAACCACTCCCCCCACCTCTCAGACATAGTGTTTGACAGCTGTTTCAGAACAAGACAGCTGCTGTCTCCTGGTGCTAAGAGAACAGTACTTGCAGTCAAAGCCCTTGGGCAAGCTATGAATCTCACTTCTCTTTAACTGCCCCAATTGCCCGACGGTGACACTTGGGAATCTGCTTTGTAAACAGTAAACCACAACAAAGACAGTATTCCTTCCACGTTTAGCTTTCAGCATGAAGCCAGCAGAATAGGACACAGCCTGATTTGCTATCAGCAACCACTTGGACTCTGACATTAAAGAGCCTACCATCATCGGCCTCCCCAAAGACCATCCCTCTCTGGCTCCCTCCTTCACCAGGAGCCGCATCCTCCCAGCGTGGAGGGAGTGGCTACGTCACCAGGATACCCGCCACCCGCACATCTTCGGCCTCATCCCAGCCACGGGTTCAGCTGAGCACCGCTGCCGGACTGGATCTGCGCGACCCGGCCAGGAGCCCGGGCCGGGAGTGGGGTACAGCCAGGCCTGGCTGGCGCTCAGCCCCTTCTCGTCTCACCTGTTCGAGCGCCGCCTCTTCAGGAGGGCCCGGGCAGGGGGCACCGGCCGGTCACAAAAACGGAAAATGGTGCCGAGAATTCTAACCAGCCATTTGTACATACCAGGCCCGAGCAACAGCGGCGGCCGACACAACCCGAGACGCAAACCCCAGAGCTGTCGCCGCCGCTGCCGCCTTCGCTGCCTCGGCCACCACCGCCAAGGCTTAGTCGCGGGCTTGTGACGCAATCCGAAGGCCCGCAGATAAAACGTCCCCAGGGTTACAGGAGACCCAGTCCACCATCGCTCCCGACGTCACCTCCTCCCACCGGACCGGAAAGCCGTCTGCGTCTGGGTCTTGAGCTCCACCTCCGAAGCCTAGCAACAAGAATGCCTGTGGGCGGGTCCGGGCCCAATCGCCGTCGAGATCGAAAGGGATGTGGGCGGGGTTTTCTCTCTAACGGAGCCAATCCTGAGACGGCCCGAGGGACAAGGCCCACAGGCACATGTCAGGGCGTCAGCAGCCGGAAGGAGCGCTACCGGTACCTGAAACAATCAAAATTAAAAAAATAAACCCAAACCCACTGCCCTCAAGTCCTTTCCGACTCATAGCGACCCTATAGGACAGAGTAGAACTGCCCTGTAGAGTTTTTAAAGACCGGCTGATGGATTCGAGCTGCCGACCTTTTGGTTAGCAGCCGAGCTCTTAACCACTGTGCCACCAGGGCTCCCTTCAACAGCCAGTATTCTCGAATTCTGCTGCAAGCCAACTCCTAGAGCTCCGGAACCACCAGCCTCCCACCTGCGGCCACCGCCACTCTGGGCTGGGGGTGGGGAACAGTTCCTAGGAGGCGGAAGGAAGTCTCAAGGTTGAGCCAGGTGCATTCCTTAATTCTCCAAAGCCTAGCTACCATCAGGCTGTTACCGAAAGTTTGGGAATAACAGAAGAATTACAAGGCCGAGAAGAAGACCTAGAATTAACTATTAGATATGCAGTATCTACGGTCCATTGTACACACACACACATACCTCTACACACACACACACCCCTCTGTACACACACACACACCTCTGTACATACATACACACACCTCTGTACACACAGACACCTCTGTACACACACACACACACCCCTCTGTACACACACACACACACACACACACACACCCCTCTGTACAGCCTCTGTGTCCTCTTAGTGCCTCTAGTTACCCTCTGGAATAGAGAAAAAGGGGGGCTCAGACTTACAGTCGTTCCCACCTGAGATTTGTCCGCCAGGTGGTACCTTTGCTGCCTTGTAGTCCACAGCAGGCTCATAGGCCAAACCGCCTCCGCTGGCCATAGAGTAGGGTTACCCTTAACTCCAACCCCATCACTGCTGCAGGCGTTCCTGGACCTAAGAGTCCTTCATGCCGGGGCCACATGGAGTAACTGGGACAATGAGATTTCTACTTTTGATTTGGTTAATTTGTGCCCCTGTACCATGGGAGGTGCACAACCTCACTGCTTCAGCCTACGCTGGCTCCCCCTCCCAAACCATGCTCTGGTTTTCCCTAAGGATCCTCATTCCCCTCCAGGTGGGGGGATCCTTTCCTTCCAGTCCTTCCAGGCCCCACCCTCATCGTCCTCAAAACCTACCTCTGTTTCACAGAACAATGACGACTCAGTCCCACCAATCCATTCTTCGGTCTTGCAAATTTTCCCTCTAGCATTCACTGAACGTTAAAAGATTTCTGCTCAACTTGGTTTTTGTTGACCCCTTTGGGGAACAGAGTTCTGGACCTTTTAATGGGGATAGGGACCCAAAGATGGGATGTTGTTGGTTTGGTCCTGAGGTGGCTAACCAAAACACCAAACCCATTGCCACTGAGTCAATTACAACTCATCACAACCCTCCAGGACAGGGTAGAACTGCCCCCTAGGGTTTCCAAGGAGTGGCTGGTGGATTCTAACTGCTGACCTTTTGGTTAGCAGCCAAGCTCTTAACCACTGCGCCACAAGGGCTCCAGGTCCTGGTTAGAGTGGGAGAAAAATGCAGAACAAAATTCAAATTCAGTCTTACTGGTGTGATAGAGACTGGAGGAACCCTGAGACTATAGCCCTAAGACACCCTTCTAACTTGCAACTGAAGCCACTCCCGGAGGCCACCTTTCAGTCAAATAATAGATTGGCCTATAAAACACCTGTGAAGAACGCGCTCCTTAGAATAATCAACTATACAGGACTAAATGGGCAACATTTGCCCAAAAGCAAAGAAGAGAAGGCAGAAAGGGGGCAGAGAAACCGCACAAATGGAAATGGGGAACCCAGGGTGGAAATGGGGAGAGTGCTGACACATTGCAGAGATTGTAACCACTGCCACAGAACACTTCGTGTATGAGTTATTGAACGGAAAACTAATTTGCTGTGTAAACTTTCACCTAAAACAATAAAATGTTCAAAAAAAAAAAAAAAAAAGAACATGCACTCCTTATATTGGATTTCAATTCAAAACTTGCCCATATTCACTGCAAACAGATTGGCCTGGCTCTTAGACAGAACTAGCAATGTACGCCTGTTTCCTAATCTATAAAATGGGGTTAATAAAATCTGCCTCTCAGATCTATGGGCTGATTAAATGTGTTCGCATATATGAAGAGCCTACCTCAGTGCCCAACCCAATTGCCAATTGCCATTGAGTCAACTCTGACTCATGGCGACCCCTATATATGTCAGAGTAGAACTGTGCTCCATAGGGTTTTCAATGGCTGATTTTTTTTTGGCAGTAGATCGCCAGGCCTTTCTTCTGAGGTGCCTCTGGGTGGACTCAAACCGCCAACCTTTCGGGTTAGCATTCAAGAGCATTAACCTGTTGCACCACCCTGGGATCCTATCTGTTACAGGTAAGTGCTTACTGCTTCTCTTCCCTCTTCTTTCTTTTCACGTCTAATAAATCATTTAACTGGCCAATTCTGCATCCGAAATTTTTCACACATCTGCCTGTTCCTCCCTCCAAATCCGCCAGAACTGCTGTGGCTCAGGCCCTGGTCACTTCTCACTTACACTAAAGCAAGAGCTGCCTACTGGCCTCCCTGGTCTCCATCTCTACCCTTCCCCTCTTCTACACCGCTTCCAGCATGAGTTCCCCACTTCTGTCTTTTGTTGTTTTCATTTATTGATGAAGGTAAATTTATATTAATCTGTATAAATAAAACTAAGTTTCTGTCCATTTTTCTGTTACTGAATCACTAAATGGTTGGATTGATAGTCACCAAACTTGGAAGGGTTGTTTGGGATGGGCTGACATAAAATACAGACCATGTGGCAACCCTAAAATTTATTTTGTATGATGGCACCAACCAACAACAACAACATGGCCCCCGGGGAGAACCTCAAACGGAGAGACAGGCATCTCTGGGAGCAGCAAAAACTTCAGTGCAACCAGAAGAAAGAGGGCTACCACCAGGTGATAAGTGCCCCCCTGCTGAGAAAGACCGCATGAACCCTGTAATGAGCTGCGTGGTGACCACCACCACACACCAAAATATGACCACATCCTAATCTCGAAAACTGTGAATGTTACTTTGTTTGGAAAAGGAGCCTTTGCAGATGTAATTAAATTGAGGATCTTGAGACGAGATCATCCAGGATTATCCAGATGGGTCCTAATCTAATGACAATTGTCCTTATAAGAGAAACGCACAGGGAGACTTGAGACAGAAGAGACCACACAGAGAAGGGAAGGCAGTGTGACCACGGAACAGAGATTGGAGTGATGTGATGCGGCCACAAGTCAAGGAATGCTGACAGCCACCAGAAGCTGAAAGAGGCAAAGAACAGATTCTCCCCTAGAGTCCCCAGAGCGAGGGTGGCTCTGTTGGATTTCCAACTTCTACGCTCCAGAACTGAGAGAATACATTTCTGTTGTTTTAAGCCATGCAATTTGGAGTCATTTGTTACAGCAGGCAAAGGAAACTAATACACACTGCAAAATGGTGTTTCCAAATAAAGGCCCCAAATCAGAAGTCACAAGGATGACCTTCCAAACGGTAGACACTGATTGTTCCATGGAGTTACTTCTCACATGGACAGCTGTGTGCACGCTCCAGGGGACAACAGCCCCGATGGAAGGTAAGGATCCTCATGGCCAATCCTTGGGAAGCCAGCTAGCTAGAAATAAAAAAACAGAAACCTGTCCTTCATAGCAATATTTTAAAATAGCACTTCAAGAACCAAAAATACCTAAAATGCATGGGACAGATGCACAGTTATTTAAAATGTCTCCCCAAATTTTTATTAGTTTTTTTAAGAATTTTTAATCAGAAAAATTATTTTGCTTCTGTCTGATCACCCTGCATACAGACCTTGCTAGACCCGCCTCTCCTCCAATGGTCTGTGCAGCGCTCTGAAAACAGGTAGTTACTGCAAGCACTGGACTTGCGTCTATTTTGTTTGACACATTGTAAGGAAGCCATGGTTTCTAAAACAAAGTTGCCCTATTCCATGAAAAATGCTTCTGAGGTCAGAAAAGTTGTATGCGGTTGTTAATCTTGTTTTGTAACGAACTACCAAAAGAAAAGATTGATTCACAGAATAATGTAAAATAGAAAGTGAATAAGAAAAAAGCTAGGTTCCCATCGCCATGAAGATAAAATCCAATATGCTGAACACGGTAGACCAAGTTCTTCATATCCTGTCTTCAGATTGCTTTATCATGTGCCGGTTCATACACACCCAACTCACAAAGCACACTTCTTTCGTGCCTCCAGGTCTGTTCCCTCCGCCTGGAATGCCTTTCCACCCACCTTCTCCACCTCAAGAACACCTGCCTGTTCTTTGGAACCCAGCTCGAAGGCAGCTCCTCTGTGAAGCTTTTCTGATGGCTCCTCCATCTGGGATTCCCAGCCTCCAGTTGCTCCCCCTCAGTTCTCCTATAGAATCTGTACCCATAGCTCTACGTTATTATTATCGTTATTATCATTATTAACTTTAATGTGTCTGTCTCCTGGAGGGGAAGGATCATGTCTCATTTTGCCTTATTATATCTCTTAATGGGAGCTTAAGAAATGTCTGATAAATGGAAGAATGAGGAAATGAATTAAATACAATGAAACTTGTGAGAGCCAGAACTCGATGGGACTGTGTTTTTCTGGGTCTCGCAGGTTTTCCACCTTTGACAGCGTACAGGCTCACCACATTTCTAATGCTCTCTATTAGTGGAAAACATTTTAATTTTCCTTCTCTGGCAGGTTCTGCCTTCCACAGGTTCCAGCTTTCACAGGTTTTGCTGTATATGGATTTGGGGCCTGAGAACAGTTACTCTGATCGCCTTGTAGGATATGAATCGAGGAAACAGACTTATCTTCCCAAACTTGGACTGCAGACGAGAGATGGCAGGGTCACTGAAGCAGACGGGAAGACAAAGGGTGTGACAGTGAGTCATGTAGCAGCTTGGAGTCCGAGACCAGGTTGGGGTGGGGACATAGGTCACCTTTCCTGATGGTTGAGACCAGCTAGAGTTATAAACCACCTCGCCTCAGCTCCTTTACACTTCCACACCTGTTTTTCGTGTCCATGTGTTTGGAAGGTTGAGGGCCGCTTTCTGCTCTGCTTCCTGTGGCAGGTGGTTTCTCGAATCTAAAAAAAAAAAAGCCAGTACATAATACTAGATCAAAAATGAGGGCGATCGTGACATTATTGAGCTGTGAACATTTATTCAGGGTCATAGTATTGAGAAAAGAGACTCGTTGTTGGGAACTAAAAGTACTTTTCCTCAGAATACCCTTTAAATAAATGCTAACATTGAATTAGATTTGATTAGATTTGGATTATCTCTGGGAATTTTTAAACTTTTTGTTTTGAAATACATATACAGATTCCCAGGAAGTTGCAAAAATAGTACAGTTTCCCCCAACTGTAACATCATGTAACTATGGTACTGTATCAAAACCAGGAAAAACCGAAAGGTTGGCAGTTCGAGTCCACTCAGAGGCACCTCAGAAGAAAGGCCTGGTGATCTACTTCTGGAAAATCAGCCATTGAAAACCCTGTGGAGCACAGTTCTACTCTGACACACATGAGGTCACCATGAGTCGGTGTCGACTTGATGGCAACTGGTTTATAGAGTTCTGTGTAGTTTTATCACGTGTGGATTTGTGTAACCACCCCTACAATCAAGATACAGACTCTCCCGTCACCGCAAAGATCTGTTGTGCTGTCCCTTCATAGTCACACACGTCCTCCTCTTCTCCCTTCCCCTCCCCCGACTCTTGGAATCTTTTATATTTTTTATACTTGGCATTTCTCACTAACCCAAAAGAGAAGGGACAGTTTCTCCCACTGATTCTGGGGCTTTTCTGAATGCTGGAAGTAGAAAGGAACACACAGCTAGAAAGTTGGGGAAACTTCAGGGCCCACAGGCAAGAGAATCATTAACAGTAACTCAGAGAGACCTCCCCACAGAAATGACTCTTATTCCTATAGTTGGCTGGTTTCCAAGAAATGTATATTTGCTGTCTAGATAAGCATTTGGCATGGTACTTAAAACTGATAGGACCTCAGCAAATATTTATCAGGCGAGTGCACGTATCCAACAGGGCGCACGCAATGCATTTCATAACAGGCTCCTGGAAGGAGTATGAAACAATCCGCCATTTGCTCCAGAGGCAGTTGTTTATGAATTAGCGAAGCCCAGAGCAAGAAAAACAGAAAAGCTTGCAGGTAACCTGTGTGGTTTTCCTATTTAAGTTTCTGCGAGTCCTGGGTGGCGCAAACTGTTAAGCACTCGACTGCTAGCCAAAAGGTTGGCAGTTCCAACCCATCCAGAGGTGCCTTGGAAGACAGGCCTGGCGATCTGATTCTGAAAGACCACAGCTTTGAAAACCCTGTAGAGGGTTTTCTACTCTACATATACGGGGTCACCATGAGTTGGAATCTGACTCATCAGCAACTAACAACAACAACATTTAGTTTCCTTAATGTGTTTCTCCAAGCAGGAGACAAAAGAATGACAAAAACAGACTAAAGGGCTGAGGTTTCCATCTTTCACCGGAAGCATCACGGCTTAAGGTGCCCCCCATTCCAAAAATCCCACAGAGATTCTCTTCCTAAGCCCTCTCCTCAGCGTGATGCAGCCCGCCTACTGAGGGGAGAGAAAGGTGCGGATTGTGTGACCAGCAGGCTGTGTAATAACAGCAGTACCAAGTGGTGAGCCCACTCACCTTGGTAGCAGGCACAGTGCTAAGAGCTTCACCTATAATATCTCATTCAGTCCTTGCAACAGCCCTGTGAGACACGCGGTTTTATTATCTTCATTTTTACAATAGACATAACTAAGACTCAGAGAACTTAAGCATTTTGCTTAAGGCTACAGACTAGTGAGCAGAAGGCTTGGGATTTGAACCCCTGTCAGTGGACCAGTGCTAGGCAGTCTTGCCGTTCATTAGGTTTGAGGTGGGGCACAGAAATCTGTGCACAGTGTGGTTCAAAGCTCCCTGGGGGTGGGGGATTCCGATACACTAACTCCTTGGGGAGAATTGCTACAGTCTACATCTTACAAGGAACCTCCTGCTCATTCAAATGGGGTGCAGACACAGAGAGAACTGACAGATGAATTTATGCGAGAGGCTATTACTTCAAGAACACTTGGTTTTTGGTTTTTTTTTTGTTTTTTGTTTTTTTTAGTTTAAAGATGACTTCACGAAATAGTTTTGGTTCAAGGCTTAAAAGTTGTTTCCAGGCAATAGATTTCGGAGTTCCTCCAGTCTCAATGTATCCAGTACATCTGGTTTCTATTAAGAATTGGAAATTCTGTTCCACATTTTTTTTCCCCTGTGATCAAGATCCAGCTATTGGGTCCCTGATCAAAACATTCAGTAATGGTAGCTGGGCACCATCCATTTCTTCTGGTCTCATGGCAAAGGAGGCAGTAGTTTATGGAGGCAGTTAGACCTACAGTCATTTCCTTCACTGATTCCTGGTCTCCTCCCTATGTTGCTCCAGGCGAATAGAGACTAGTTGTTGTATACTGAGTAGTCTCCAGCAGGCTTTTAAGACCCCAGGCACTACTCACTGAGCTAGGAGGTAGAGCAGAAACTCTAAAAACAATATTAAGCCAATTGACTGGCGAGGTCCACATTTCATGCCCTTAAACCTTTGAACCAAGGAAACAACCCATGAGGTGCTTATTATGTGGTATAAACAGCTGCAGCCTTTTTTTTTTTTTTTTGGCTTCCTTTTTTGTTGTACAACTATATATAACATTCTATTTACCATTTCACCCCTTTATTGTTATTTTTTTCCTGGTGTGCAGTTTAGTGATATTACTTACAAAAGTCAAGTTGTGTATCCATTACCCTTAGTCAAAGCCAATTTTCCCACCACCACAGACAGAAAGTTAAATAGCTTCCCCTCTCCTCCCCCAACCCCCGCCAGCTACTAGTAACCATTGGTTTTTATGTATTTATTTATTTTCAAGAACACTTTTGATAGAGAATGCTAAATGGCAAATGGCTTTTACCTGACGCAAGCTTTGGATGAAAGTGTAGTCTTAAATTGCTTAAGTCCTTATTCATTTATTTTAAAACTCTTTAGTCCATCAGAAGTCTGCAAAAGTGTTGTAAGTACTTCCACCAGAAAGGGAATTAAACTCCCTTATAGCTATGGACTGAGCCCTAGTGGTGGAGTGGTTAAGCCCTGTGGCTGCCAACCAAAAGGTCAGCAGTTCTAATCCACCAGCTGCTCTTTGAAAACCCTATGGGGCAGTTCTATTCTGTCCTATAGGGTCACTATGGGTCGGAATTGACTCGACCACAACAGGTTTGGGTTTTTTTTTCTTGGTAGCTATGGAGCACAAGTTTAGTTACTTTCAGCTCTGAGGTGAATGAATTCTAGCATAGTTCTCTGATGTAAATTTTTGCATTTACTTTTCCTTTTAAAAGAGAACTAATAGAAAGATGGGAACTCTAGACAGGAAGAAATAAAATAAAGATATACAATGCCAAAAAAAAAAAAAGTATCCTTTAATCTGAAGCATAGAAATATTTTGGCAAATATAGGTATACGATGGGACTCAATGAAATGTTCTTAGCGAAGTCTAAACACTGCCCTATGGCGGAGGAGCGTGTGAATTAACATAAAGAGTAGTTTTGTATACAGAAGCCCACAGGAACACTAACTGGATTTGTTATTTCATTCGCAAGAACACTGCGGGAGCTCAAATCACACTAGATTTCAACACACCAAGCCAAACAACTGATAAACCGCCCACAAGGAATGGAACTATTTTGAACTCGTCATCCTGCAAATACAAAGTATAAAATTAAGACATGCATAAATTGTGTCAGGTACAAAGTACATGACCTTTTGCTGAAAAGAGGAGGAGCTGAAGATTCTGAAAGGCTTGGGACCCGCCTGCAGTCAGCCCCTGCGAACTTCCTGTCGTCACCACACCTCTGGGTGAGTTACCTGAGCCGGCGCTGAGCAAAGCGCAGAAGAAACTCCCAGGCTCTGCCGAGTAAATCATTCTTGCGAATGTAACACGCGCTCTCTCCAGTCTCCACATGCCGAGATTGTACTTCTTCATCGGTTTGATGTGCTTGGTGAGATCAGGTAGGTCATTTGTTGAATGGTTTTCTTAATGACTTTTTAAAAATTATTATCGGTATCATAGTCATTTTACATGATATTATCTCAGTCCCTTTAATGGACTTGGTGAGTTTCGTATGGTCATTCTTAAGGAAAGACGATATGAATTAAATGAACTGTCTAATCCTGAAATAAAACTACAACACTCTTTTCTCAGTAGTATAAGAAAACTACTATTTCTTTGAATTAACTTGCTATTTTTAGGTGTAAAAATTAAATATGCCAAAAAATCTGAGATAGTGTTGTTTTCTTTCACAGCTAAATTTTCTGTGCTTTTCTAACTCGATGAAATGACATCAGTTATTTTCCGGGACAATTGTAATTTATTTTATGATAATATCTGATATGTAGAGGGTGGGTTTTTACAGGGTTCACGCATCAAGTGTTTATTTAAATTACTCTTACAGAGAAATATGATTTTATGTGTGTGTGAACCCCTTAGAATGGTGCCTGGGCGTATTGATGACCTAAAAATCATTAATCATGAGAAAAGAAATCAAAATTAAAAGGGCAATACACATAGTAAAGTAACAAAAATAAAGTGAAATGCTTTTTCTTTTGAAAAACTGAATACTTCTCAGCCTTCTTAGAAATATAATTCTTTTTTGCATAGCTTGTGGTAATGAAGATTGGTACAATTTTTTTGAAGGGCAAGAGGGAAATACTATATATTAGAATCCATAAAAATGTTCATTTCTAACTTTAATATATAACATACCTAACAAAATGCCCTATGAACTAGTAAAACCATTGCTGGGAATTTATTCTAAAGAAATAACTTGTAAAAGTCTCATATGAAGAGATGCTACTTATAATAACTATGCTACGGTAACTCAAAAGCGGAAACAACAGCCATGTTTCTATGTACAGGAATGGATCATTAAAGTACAGTATAGCAACTTAATAAAAAATGGAATCTTTAAGATAGTTCTGAAGCTGTGCGGAAATGTGGGAACATGTTTGTAAAATAATGCCAAATAAAAAAAAGTGGAACTCAAATTTTAGTTAAACTATGATTACAACCAGGAGCCCTGGTGGCACAGTGGTTAAGAGCTCGGCTGCTAACCAAAAGGTCGGCAGTTGGAATCCACCAGCTGCTCCTTGGAAACCCTGTAGGGCAGTTCTGTTCTGTCCTACAGGGTTCCTATGAGTCGGAATTAACTCGACAGCAGTGGGTTTTTTTGTTGTTGTTTTTTAAATTGTGCTTTAAGTGAAAGTTTACACTTCAAGTTAATTTCTCATACAAAAATTTATACACACATTGTTATGTGACCCTAGTTGCTCTCCCTATAATGTGACAGCACACTCCTCCTTTCCACCTCGGATTTCCCGGGTCCATTCAACCAGCTCCTGACCCTCTCTGCCTTCTCATCTCGCCTCCAGACAGAAGCTGCCCATTTAGTCTCATGTATCTACTTGAGTTAAGAAGCCCTCTCTTCACTAGGATCATTTTATGTTCCACAGTCCAGTCTAATGTTTGTCTGAAGAGTTGGCCTTGGGAATTGTTTTAGTTTTGGGCTAACAGACAGTCCGGGGGCCATGTCTTCTGGGGTCCCTCCAGTCTCAGTCAAACCATGAAGTCTGGTCTTTTTACTAGAATTTGAGTTCTGCACCCCACTTTTCTCCTGCTCCGTCAGGGACTCTCTGTTGTGTTCCCTGTCAGGGTGGTCATTGGTGGTAGCCAGGCACCATCTAGTTCTTCTGGTCTCAGGCTGATGAAGTCTCTGGTTTTTGAGGCCCTTTCTGTCTCTTGGGCTAATATTTTCCTTGTGTCTTTGGTGTTCTTCATTCTCCTTTGCTGCAGGTGTGTTGGGACCAATTGATGCATCCCGCTTGCTAGCTTTTAAGACCCCACACGCCACTCACCAAAGTGGGATGCAGAACATTTTCTTAATAAACTTTGTTATGCCAGTTGACCTAGATGTCCCCTGAAACCATGGTCCCCAGACCCCTGCCCCTGCTACTCTGTCCCTCAAAGTGTTTGGTTGTATTCAGGAAACTTCTTAGCTTTGGTTTAGCCCAGTTGTGCTGACTTCCCCTGTGGTGTGTGTTGTCCTTCCCTTCACCTAAGATAATTCTTGTCTACTGTCTAGTTAGTGAATACCCCCCTCCCCCCCCTCATAACCATCAAAGAACGTTTTCTTCTGTGTTTGAACCTTTTCATGAGTTCTTATAATAGTGTTCTCATACAGTATTTGTCCTTTTACGACTAAGTTCACTCAGCATAATGCCTCCCAGATTCCTCCAGGTTGGGTTTGGTTTTTCAGTTTTATGATCACAACTACACCGAAATCAGGTGTGTATGCCTGTAATCAAAGACTAGAGGGGAAATGGAAAATAGAGGTATTAGGATTTAAGACCTACAAATAAATGTCCAAAATTTATGCTTTTGAAGTTAATTTGATAACAAGTTAAAATTAGATTTATGATATTTTTAACTGAAAAGTAATATTTTAAATGTATGTTTATTATCATTTTTAAATTTAAAAAATAAATATACATTTACAGATAGTTAAAGGGAATGGGGGCTGCCAATAGCCTTAACACCCTAACACAAAAGCCTAATGATGATTTATGAGTACTTTCTTCCAGTCTCCCATCATATATCTCTCTTTACAAAGTTGGAATTAAGAAAACTTGAATTTTTTGTGACTTGTCTTTTTATTTAACAGGGCCCTGGCGGTGCAGTGGTTAAGAACTGAGCTGCTAACCAAAAGGCCAGCAGTTCCAATCCACCAGGCGCTCCTTGGAAACCCTATGGGGCAGTTCTACTCTGTCCCATAGGGTCTCAGTGGGTCAGAATAGGCTCGACAGCAAGGGGTTTGGTTTGGTTTTTGTTTATTCATTTGACATTACCTCTTAAGTAAAGCCTTGTTTTAAATTATTCTAAAAGAGTATCACTGCTGCATGGTAGACTCTGAGCACGCAGACATACCACAATAAAACGTAGCTCGCAGGAAAAACGTAGTGACAGCTGTGAGCTGTATCTAGACTTCTCCGTATCTACAAAACCGTGAACTCGGAACTTTCATGGGGGAAGGTGTTGAATAATATGCATCTGATAGCAGAGATTATTGATCACAAATGGTTTTTGTGTTTTATATTAAGAACAAAACACTCCTCGTTTTTCCTTTCTTTGGCCTGCAGTCCAAAACTTAGCAATTGTTAAGATGTGATTCAGAAATCCCAGGGATACAAGTCATGTTCTCTCTGAGATCTTCGTGTTTTTGTCTTTGCTGTTGTTGCTCTAATCGTGTGCAGTTGTGGTAGGATTGTTTGCCCAATGCAATGTGTCTTTTGATTTCTCGACTGCTGCTTCCATGGGTGTTGATTGTGATCCAAGTAAAATGAAATCCATGACAACGTCAATCTTTTCTCCATTTATCACGATGTTGCTTATTGGTCTAGTTGTGAGGATTTTTGTTTTCTTTAAGTTGAGGTGTAATCCCTACTGAAGGCTGTGGTCTCTATACATTTGCCTATTTCATATAAGTGGGATCATATAGTATTTGTCCTTTTGTGACTGACATTTTACTCAACATAACGTTTTCAAGGTTCATCCATGTTGCGGCATGTGTGAGGACCTTATTTCTCGTCACGGCTGAGTAATATGCCATTGTATGTACAGACCACATTTTGTGTATCCATTCCTCTATTGACGGACATTTCCATCTTTTGGCTACTGTGAATAGTGCTACAATGAACGTTGGTATACAGGTTTCTGTTTACGGTCCTGCTTTCAGTTCTTTTGTGTATATACCTAGGATTGGGATTGTTGGGTCAGATGGTAGTTCTATGTTTAACCTTTTGAGGAACCACCAAACTGTTTTCCACAGTGGCTGTACCATTTTGCATTTCCACCAGCAATGGATGAGGGTTCCAGTTTCTCCATAACCTCGCCAACACCTGTCATTTTCCATGAGAGCTTCATTTTCAACAATAAGCCCGGATGCTCAGCATTCTGAGGGGTTCAGTGTGAACGCCACCTCTGTCTGTTGACTCTCATCGAATCTCAGAGCTTTCTCCTGTCTTGTCCACATTCCCAATTGCTTCATTGGTGGGTGATTTCTGTGCTCAATTCCATCTTCATTTTTCACAGACAACTCTTTGGAAGTGAACAGTGAGTCTCCTCTCTTTGAAGAGGTTTCCCCCAATAGGAAATGAAATCAGTTCTTCCAAAAACAGGTAGAAGCTAAAAGCTAGAACTAAGGATAACATTGAGACACCACGGGCAGTTTTATTTACTTTCAGGGCCCTGTGACCTGCACAGACACGGAGCAAAAGGATCCTTTGGAAGTTTCATCACAAAGGGAGTGGGTTTATCAGTAATCAGTCTTGTCTCACAGAATTACACTTTTCCGGGGAAACTTCTCCAGCCAACCCAATTTCCTCTGGCAAAAATAGAACAAAATGGCAGCTGTATTTACCTCCTAGTCTGAGAAAAAGAGTGGTTTATTTTGTGCAGGAGCTGCTACAAAGCCTCCCCACTCCCAACGGAATAAACAAGGTGAAGAGTTCGCTTTAACCTTCACGTAGAAAATGGAGGTCCATCGGCCTTAGCCTCCATGGGGAAAGAGAATAATTTGGGAAACTTGGAGTCTGGCTGGATTTGGACAATTCTGCCCTCCTTCAACTCTTAAAAATTTTTCATCTGTTCACTCTGGTCTTTCCAAGAAACTGTGAAATTATACGAACCATGTTTTTGTTTGTCTGTTTTGTTTTTAACTAAAAGAAAATTTAATTAGCCAAAAATAAAAGCGCTTGACACAAAGGTGACAAAATGTCCCCCAGGATCCGTGGTAGCAACAGCCACCGGGGAAAGCCTGCATTGCTTGGGGAGGGACCGTCAAGGCAGTGGCGTCACTACTATGATGTCACTTGTCACTCAGTGCGGTAGCTCGTCCTCCCCTCCCCCAGCCACTCAGGGTGCAGGCGGCAGGGCCAGGGTGGAGGAGAGGGTCTCT